CCATGCCAGGCACTGTGCTAGGTGCTGAGGATACAATGACAAATGGATTCTGGTCCCTACCCCTTAACTCCTCCTGCGAGAATTGGCCAGCAGGTTTTCCTGGACAGGGCCCTCTTCATCTACTGCACCTGAGGAATATCTAGTCTATTTCTTCATCTTGTGCTGGTTTATGCCCAACTTTTTTATGTCAGATCTGATAATGTGGTTATGACTAACTGGTAGCAGCTTCTTGGAGTGTTGTTTTAAGGATGATGAAGCTGTATCTGAAATCAGTGGCAAAGCATGCAGTGACTAATTAGTCATGCTTGCCGTGGGGGCAGGAGTGAGGGGCAAAGGCAAACAGGCCAGATACTGGTCATAACTGAACTAGTTTCCAGAATGGTCAGTTTCTCTGACCATTGTTATATGCAGTTGTTATAAATGACATCAACTGTATTTTATTGCTCGAATTCAAAATTTCTTAAATTGCTGATAAGCTGTTCATCTCTTAGGAAGTCCTGGAGTAAAGAAATCCATTTAACTTGGTTGACACACAATTTCTCAAACCAGGAATCTTGTCTCTTCTCCATTGCTAATTGCACAAGCCATATCAATGCTGGGTGTATCACTTTGCCCCAGTTCTGTAAATATGTTCACCATCACTGCCCATGAATGCCTTTGATTTCTCCATGTTGTTGTAGTGACTTTTGTTGGGAAGGAAAACTCCTGGGCTGAATGCTACTCTGTTCTATGGAAGCCCTTTATTCATTAATTTCTTCTTCTGTCTTGCTATCTAAAATTCTTCTTGCTGCCGCAGCTGGAGTTAAAAATGATCACTGGTTGCCTGTCTAGAGCTTCATCGATGAACTTTTCCAAGTTCACACACAAATGAGTTCTTGCATCTCTGGGGTGTGTTAGAAGGTAGCTCTGTTCATTCTGTCTGTTGGCGGGAAGCCATGCTAATTAATAAAACCTTCCTCTAAGAAGTTAATTCTCAAATGGCTGTTGCCTCATGGGAAATGCATTTGAACTGCTGAGCAGGTTTTTCTCTGATCTCTCTGGCCACGGAGGGGAGGGAGGTGGTGGCAGTTGTCCTACAGCATGGTGTAGTCACGGATAGAGTATTATACTTGGAGTCACTAGCTCTGGGTACTAGTCCTAGTACTATTGCTTGGTTGCTATGGAAACTTGAGCCAATCACTTAAAATGAACATCAGTTGACTCAACTATAAAATGATGATTATAACAATAATTCTGATCTCTCTACTTTAGGGAGTTGTTGAGAGGGCTAAATGAGATGATATACGGAAAGCACCTTTGCAAAAGGATGTTTTTATTATTAGATGTCTGGGTTTGCATTTTTTCCCAGATGGTTTTTTTCATTGTTCTTTTCTTAACCAGATGCAATATGTGAAATATAGTCTTTCTTGCAGCTTTTCCAGATGTGTTTTATATGAAAATCTAGTAGACCAAACACCTAGTACTGAGTCCAAATTGGTTTGGTGTTGACTTCCCATCTTTTTTCTTTTACCACTCCTGTCATTCATCATTGCTCATAGATTTTAAGTTTAGTGTTGAAATTAATTCATAACTTATACCTCAGTGTTAATGTCTTTTAACAAGTCTGTGAAGAGAAGTAAAAAGATGTTCTCCTCTCCTATACAACTTTTAAAGAAATTGAGTTGAATAAATGCTTCAGCCAGTTGAGACTCCGGGAGCAATGAGAGCCTAAGGCCAAAAATCATTGAGTGTTAGAATAGAATTTCATATTTGACAAAACGTTAAGGGTCTATATCCTATGCCTTACCTTGAGAAAGATGTGGGCAGTTATAAAGTGGGGTCCCGTTGCATACCCCACGGCTTTCTGCCATCTCACTGGCTGTGTTTCACTGGCTCCTTTTTCTTCTGTCAAGTCTCTCTTCTTTCTGGAACAGTGGTCACATGCCTTCCCCACTGGCGGCAGGCTGTTTACACCCAGACCCCCTCCTGAGATGAACTTGCTGCCCAGCTCCAGGGAGCAGGTCAGCGGACAGCCTCCCACTGTCAGCTCCTCCACAGCCTGCTTCAGCAGCAGGAGGCCACCTCGTCTGAGGTGATGCCCTTCCCAGGGTGACCCACATCCAGGGACTGAACAAAGCGGAAGTACAAAGGCTGGGCCATTTCAGGCTCATGAGAGACACAGATGAGTACTACTTGCTCTGGGGCTCCCTGGCTGGTTAGCTGAGGCCTCGCTGGGCTCGCACCACAGGTCAGGTTCTTCCTCTGACCAACCCACTTTCCTCCTCCTTCCTTTCACAGATATTGATCTCTAATAAACACCTTTTTACAAATGATTTTTTTTTAATTTTATTGGGGAATTGGGGGAGGGGAACAATGTTGGGGAATTGGGGAGGGGGACGAGCCAAGTTGTTGTTCTTCAGTCTTCATTGTGGAGGGCGCCAGTCGCCATCTGGCTTCCCGTCGGCAGCTCGTGGCCTCTAAGATCAAGGTGCTGTGTTCAGTCTTAGTTGTGGGTGGGTGTAGCCACCATCCCATGTGGGAGTCGAACCAGCAGCCTTGTTGTTAAGAGTGCCCGCCCTATCCACTGAGCCATCCGGGCGGCAGCTCAGCTCAAGTTGCCGAGTTCAGTCTTAGTTGCGGGTGGGCGTAGCCCACCATTGAACAGGCAATCTTATTGTTACACCAGCTGAGCCATCCTGCCACCTGTTGGCAGCTCAGAGACAGCTCAGCTCAGGTGCAGCGTCACTGGCCCACGTGGGAATCAAACCGGCAGCCCTGCTGCTCAGAGCTTGTGCTCTTAAGCCAACTCTTAACCAACTGAGCCGCTCGGCCGGCCCTAAAAATTATTTTTAAAAACCCAAAACTTTACTGAGATATCATTTATATACCATAAAACCCACCCTTTTAAAATGTACAACTCAGTGGTCTTTGGTATTTTCATAAAGTTGTGCAACCACCACAACTATCTAATTCCAGAACATTTTTATAAACCCTCCCCCCAAAAGAAACTCCATACCTGTTAGCAGTCATCCCCTATTAACCCCTCCTCCAACCCCTGGCCACCATAATGTACTTTCTGTATCTATAGATTTGACTATTTTGGAAGTTTCATATAAATGGAATCATACAATATGTGGCCTTTTGTGATTGGCTTCTTTCACGTAGCATAATGGTTTCAAGGTTTATCCATGTTGCAGCATGGATCTGTATGTCATTCCTTTTTATGGACGAATAATATCCCAGAATGCAGTATATGGCACTACATTTTATTTAGCCATTCATCAGTTGATGTACATTTGGGTTGTCCTAATAAACCTCTTGCACCCCCAACTCCATGTCATCATCTGCTTCTCAAGAGCCCAACCTGAAAACTACCCACACTTGGAACCCTAGGACCTCAACTTCTGCACCAGTGAGGGTTATTAAGATCTTCTTCCAGTAAAGGTGGTTCTGCCCAAAGGGAAATGCCAGATGCCAAGATAATAAAAAGCTCTCCATCTTATCGCAATAAGTATTGAAGGTCAACCTGTTGATTACTTGGTCTTAGAGTACGCATGTTTGGGAAGGAGATTTAGGGGAGTTGAAATCTGCTTTAAAAAAAAAAAAAGGAGAAAACAGAAGGGCCAGGTGAGAGGTGAGGTCAGAGAGACCGGTGGGCACCACACTGTGAATGGCATTTATGCCATGATGAGATATTTGGACCCTTCCTGTGGGGAAGTGGGGACTCATGGAAGGCAGGTGAGAGGTACTCAGATGTGCCCTCACTTCATTTGTGGATTACAAATGGTGGGTAGCTCTTCTATCAGAAGACCCTGTGAGCTGGCCAGAGTCTGAGTGGGGGAAGTTGCTGGAGATGAAGAGATGAATTGTAAGTTGAAGAAGGTGTCAGAATGAATATAAGGGGTGGGGAACAGGCAAATGAGAGTCTAAGGAAGGTGCAAGGGGGCCATGGGGAGAGAGGCAGTGGGGCCTATTGGAAAGAATATGGCCTTGGAACCTCATACATCTGGGTTTTGAGTCCTCTTTCTTCCTTTAGCTGCTCCGTGACTTTTTTTTTTAATTACAAGTATAATTTAACATGAGCACATCTTAAATCAGTCCCTGTTATCAAAGATAAATTCAGAGTCCAAATCCTTTCCTAGGTTCAGTGCTGTGCAAGGTCGTAACTCTAAACATTTATGATTCCCTCACCTTTTCTAACAGAGAAAATGCTTCCTGTTAAAATTTGATTAGCTTCCTGTCATTTCACTCTTGGTCTCAGTCTTATAGTTTAAAGAGAGAAAGGCTATTTTCAGCATTTTTTTCCAATGTACTTAAATACTCTTCGGTCATTCAAATAATTACAGTGACTGAGCTTAGACCTTCAAGTTTCAAAAAAGCAGATTACCTAACTTCTCTTCATCTCTAAAAGAAGGCTAATAATCCTCACCTCTCAGCACTGTTTTGTGACTTTGAAGTGACACAGGCTGTATAAGGCAACCAGCTCCCCTTAGCTCACTTTCCCTGTCCTTATAACCAGAGGGGGCCTAGGAGGCAGAGCCCAGGGTGGAGGTCCAGAGTTGGGTCAGCAAGTAACAAGAGCAGAGGGCAGGGATGGTCAGGAGGAGCTGGGGACCAGGGAGCAGAAAGGGGGGAAGAAAGGAGGGCCAGAGCCCAGGGAATCGCAGGGCTGGACCCAGGCAGGAGCACATCTGCATGGATAAAGTTATCTGGGGCTTTGTCCTTTTTGAAGATTCAGAAAAACCTCTCTAGGACCCAACAACTCAGGCCTCTCTGCAACTTTAAATAGTGGACGTTGGGGTCCATTTGGATGGTGGAGCCTGATGAACCTCACAATTCCAGACCTCCTACAGCTGAAGTGAAGCCAAAGGCTGCATTTGGCAGGCGCACTTGCCTAAGTGCTAGACACTGTACCAGCTACCTCCTTCCTTTCTTGCTCTCCTTCTATTTTTTAAAACTCCATTGCACGGACACGTCTTCATTTTTTTAAAAAAAGTTGTTTTCCATCTGCTAATTTTCAGTTCCCGGCGATGTCTGGTTGGGACCCGTGACCTCTGAGGCTCCTTGCTATCCTGCAGTGCTGGGACTGAGAGTCAAGTGGAGTTTGGCAGCTGCTTTCTGGGCCATCCTATACACTGGTCGTCTAAGAAGTCAACCTCATCCATCTTGCAGTCTGCCATGTATCAGCCATTTGGGGACACTGCCAGCCTCGGAAAACACTATAATGTACAGAAAACTGTGCATTGGACCCCTTGGAGGATCACTCATATTCTGTGTAGAGACACTGCCAGGCTCCAAAAACGTGAAGACGGCACCAAATCTGTGTGTGTGGCCTGCTGAAGATGACTCACGGGCACCTCCACATTCAGGAGAGCCAAGATGGCTGAGGTATGTAATAAGGAGCCTGAGGCCTCACACAGGCCTGAAGTGCTTGCTTGCTTTGATGTTTGATCAGCATTTGTGGGTATTTGGTTGTCCTGTGTTCATTTATATGGCAAACATTTGACCAGCGCCTCCTAATACTCTGAAATTTATGAAATTACAGTCTTTTTGTGGATCAAAGAGGATAAAACTGCAGTGATTTCACATGATCTGATCTAACATATGATAGGAGCCGTGCCAGGGGCTGGAGATGCCAACAGATGAAACAGCTCCTGGCCTGAAGGGGCTTAGAGAGTCCAGGGAGGAGGTAGATGCAAATACTTGGAACACAAGTGATACAGGTTCTGTCACAGATGTGTACCAAAGGTGGCATGAGGCACACCCCAAGAAGGAGGGACTAAAGGAAAGGCTTCCCAGAGAGGCCTCCTGGAATGAGAGTTTTTTGCTGAAGTTCTCAAAACTGACCAGCCATTTTAGGAATACACAGGGTGGTAGCTTTGTAGTATGCCAATTTAGCTTAAGGCCTAATAATAAATCCTTTATCCTTTATCACTCGTCATGGCCCTGCTTCTCTGATCATCCACTGACCAAGTGTTTCAGTTCACCTTGTGATGACCATGTTAAGTAACAAAGAATAATGGATTTACAAGTGCCAGCATCCATGGAGACAGCCCTTTGGGTCGACTTGGAGGCTGGCTGCCACACTCCAGCTCCCCGCCCAGCAAGCCATGTTTCCAACTCATACATTCGGACAAAGGCAATTATTGACTTCAAGGCAGTGTCTTCTAGGGAGCTTGTGGTAGGCTCTGGGGCTCCCAGTCCAAAGAGCTCTGCATGCCTTAATTCACGAAATCCCTACAACCTGTGAGGTTGGTGCAAGGGTTTTCCCTATTGTGTAGTTTAGGAAACCAAGGCACAAAATCGCTAAGTAACCAATATCTTCAATGAAAGAGATATTGCTTGAGGCTTCTCTTTTTTTCTTTTTTCCCATTTTTCTAACTCTTCATTTTGAAATAGAGATCCTTGATCCACACCAGTGTTACCGCTGGCTGTCTCCTCTGCCTTCCCTGTCAGAGACTCAGCTCCCTAAGCCAGAAACACAGGGCTCTGACCCTTCAAATGCTCCTGGGGAGAAGAGCTGAAGTCTGAACACAGCCTTAGAGGAGGGTTTTCCTGGGCCTGCTGTGCCCCTCTCAGCTTGCACTGTGGGAGTCCAGCTGCTGCCAGACTAGGCAGCGGACAGGTGGGGTGGGGGTGGGGGGCTTGCTCTAGTTTACAGAAAATAAAACAGAGCCTTGAGAGGAGAGGAAAGTAGGAAAGATACAGGGCTAGTGCTTCAGTCTGATGGTCAAGGGCTTCCATAACCTCTCCCTAACCTGCCTTCCCAGGTTATATCCCATCCCTCACACTGAGAAACAACCAGTGATTCCTGGGAATGAATACGCTGCCACCTTCTGTGTCTTTGTTTTCTGGGGCCCTCTGCCTACTCGCTCCTAATGGCTTCAAGACCCAGCTAACAGCCACTCTCTTGAGATATCTTCCTCTAGTCCAGTGTGCACCTCAGACTTTCAGGTATGTGGGGCCCTGAGCCAGGTCACACCTGGAGGTCTTGCTAAACAGCAGATTTTAACTCAGTAGGTCGGAGGCAGGGCATAAGACTGTGTTTGTAACAAGCTCTGGGGGTGGGGTGGGGGTGTGTGTGCGCTGTTGACCTGCGAACCACACGCTTTGACTAACAAGGCTCTAGATCTCATTTACCTTTAGTCCTCTTTGGAGACTTAACCCTGTAGAAGCTACTGGGTTGTCGGAAAAGTCATGACGTATTTTTTCTATGTTTTTCGTTGCAAAGATGCGTCATGACTTTTCCGACAACCCAATATTTTAAGGGAAACTGTTTTCCGCCAACTAAGCTAATTTGGCATTCAGCAGTTGGTAAATTCATTTGGTAGCTGTGTAGGGTGACCATTGTTCTGGTTTGCCTGGCACTGTGGCGTTTCCTGGGACATAGGCGTGTTAGTGCTAAAACCAGGAAAGTCCTGGCCAGACCAGGCTGAGTTGGTCTCCCTATCTCTGGTGGTTACAGCTGGCTGGGGGCCTATACATCCCTTTCCTTACAACCGCCTCACCAGGTAAGGCCTTACACCAAATTCTGTGAAAGCTACAAATGGTTACTAGCTAGCAGGTACAAGAATAATCCTTGGGCCGGCCGAGTGGCGCAATGGTTAAGAACTGGCTTAGGATGCCAGAAGGCCCCGGTTCGTATCCCACATATGAGGGCCAGTGACACTGCCCTCCACAGCTAAGATGCTGAACAACAGCTCAACCTGGAGCTAGGCTGCTGTGAGTCGCCAGTGACGGCGTAGGCTGCAGCCCCTGTGGCAGTGGGTTGCCATGGGCTACCGTGTGTAGCCAGCAGTCAGCGTGAGCGGCCAGCAGTCAGCGTGAGCGGCCAGCAGCCGCTGTGAGCAGCCGTCCAGAAGCCGGCGACTGATCTGCCTCGCCCGGGAAGAACGCAATGATGGTGCCAACTTGGGCCAGTGAAGCAACGTCCTCCACAACTAGACTGAAGAACAAAAGGACAGCAGCTTGTCTGTTCCCTTTCCCCCAATTCCCCAGCGCTGTTCCCATCCCCCCAATTCCCCAATAAAAATCTTCAAAAAAAAAAAAAAAAGAATAATCCTTCAACTAGTTCTCTAGGCTTTGGGGAAGACCCATTCTCTGCTGTAGGAAATAGAAGTAGCACTACCATACAAGGTGCTCTCTAAAGCAGACAGAAGCATATTATGGTGATGAAACCAGCAAACCTTGCAGTGGGTTCAAGTGACAGCCTCTATGGCGAGAGATACAGGACCAAGGAAACAGCAGACCTGAGGCCCTGCACCAAAAGTATTAGACTGCTTGTTGGATTGGCCTGCTTCATTCAAGTACCAGCTTGGGTCATGGTTCTGACACCAGTGAGGAGCCTCGAGGGTTTCAGAGCCGAGAGCCCGTCCTCTGTGGTGTTGGGTTCAACCAGGAAATCAGCTCTGTGCCTTTCTCAGACTTAATTAGATTCAGGTTTTGTTGGTCTTGGTGCTAGTTTGCCTAGAGGATGGGTGGGGAGGTCGCCTCAAGAAGCGACCAGTACTCAAAAAGACCTTATTCCGTATTGGCAAGGATCCCAGCTACAATCCCCTCTGGGTCCCCCTCGTTCTTGTTCAGCACCCGGAAGAAAGGGGCATGGAACTGGTTTCTACGCTCTGCAGAGCACACGAAACAACGGCCCACCTGGGCTGCAGAGAAGCCAAATCCCGGGGCCCTGGGCTGCACTGGAGCAGCTGCGGCTTTCTCAGGAGGAAGGACAAGCTCTCTCTGAGCTTCAGCTTAACGTTTTTTAAAACTTCTATTTCTTTTCCTGGAAAATGAAAAAAAAAAAAAAAAGAAAGCAAACCTTTCCTTGCCTCTAGGCCTAACCAGCTGGGAGAGGCGAGGCTGGGCTGCTGGAATGGAAGTTCTGTGAACAGATTTTTTCGGAGCAAGTGTTCGCATTTGTGGAGCTCTCATCCTCCCTGTCGATTTGTACTCAGACCTCTGACACCAATGCAGCCAAACAATTTCCCCTTTCACCTACTTCCTGTGTTTTTTCTGCTGTTTGGTTAGTGCTTTGTGTGTACACACAAGCAACTCACGATGATTTTTGTTTGCTTATACCATTTCTTCCCCAACAAAGAGAAAGAAGAGAGGTTCTCAGGGATGCTGTGCAAGTTAGGAGACCAAGAGACCAGCGGGGTGGGAGCATGTCACTGTGGGAAGGGATCACAAGGGATACAGAGATTGTGGCCCAGAGTTGGAAAGACCTTTCATTTCGCCGATGAAGAAACTGAGATGTAGAGAGGAGAAATGGCTTGCTTGAGGTGGGCAAAGGAGCGATTGGGCCTGAAAGAAGGTTGCTTTAATGCTCTCAGTTATGGTTCATGGAGTGTTAACACTCCCATATCCATAGTCAAGCAGGTGCTTGAATTCTGGTCCCTATGTCCTTGTGGATGTCCTTGTGGCCCCCACTGGCCTCATCTGCTGATGGGACAATCGCTACTGTTCCAGAAAGTAAGGCTTGATTTGATGATTTTCTTGGGTGTATGGTATTTTGACCAGGATTGTGTTTTGAACTCTCTCTTTCTGAACACATTAATTTCAATAAGAATCACACCAATATTGATGAATTTTCATTGAGAAGGTATTTCCTGGAGCAAACTTCATTTAGCTTTGATCATTTCATTGCAGGACACCTAAGAACCTTTAATTTCCACAAAGGATGTGATCTCTCTTAAACATAACCCCCTTATTTGGGGCAGAACGTCTTGTAGCTCTGTTTTGTAAAATAAATTTAGTAAAATGATGATCTGAGTGATGGAATAAAATTCTTAAGGTACACGTAAACTTTTTTGTGAATCAAATAATATTTTAAATATAGTACAGGAATTTATCACTCAAAAGCAACCAATGAGAAATATATTGCTAAGTGAGAAAAGACATGTTTATATAATATAAATCAATTCTTTATTAGTGTATATATGTTATAAATTATTCTGGGAGGATGTATATGCCTATCTTAACAATGCTTACTTTGTGTGTGAAGTTTTGGGAGAACTTTCATTTTTTTATTTTGCTTGTCTGTATTTTCTAAATTTCTATATTGCACAATACTCCAACAACAAAAAGTCTCAAAATGACCAATGGTGAATCCTTTAGGAAAATGAAGAATGCTTTTGGTAGAGAGAATAAGCATTATCCCCTTTTTCATCTTATTTATAAATCGGGGAGATTCTCTGTCATACTCTAAAAAAAATATATAGCTAAAATATCATTTTTCTCCTTTTTCTGATCAAAAACCTACCTTGATGCCTACCTACATATTAAGTTTAACCTCCTATGCCTTATTGTTAAGGCCCTGTATAATCTGACCCCATTTTTATCTTTCAGATTTACCTAATGCTTGTCCTTTTCTGTTAACACTCTTTCCTGTTGGGCTCATTTCTTGTCTCCAATCTCTTTGTCGCCAATCTTTTCTGATTCAGGTGTGTTTAGTTTTGTTTAGTTTTGTCCAGATTGCAATATCCTTTCTATCTCTCCAAATTCAAGGCCATTTGTTCTACAAGACCCCACACTGATATTTCCTCTTTCTCAACTCCTGTGGCAGTTCTAGTCTATCATGTACCACTTAGGATTTACTGATTGACTGTGCTTACCTAGGCTTAGCCCTTGATGCTGAATGGCAGACGCAAATTTAGGTTGCTGGCTGGAGGGTTTGAATATTTGGAAGACATGCTAAACGGGAAGAAATAAGCAGGAATGAAGCAGTGAGTTGGAATCCAGAGAAACAGACCAAGTAGCCATTGGTTGGAGTGGCTGAGCAAATGAGCAGCTAGAGAGATGCTAGAACAAGAAGAGAGGCAGTGAAGTGTGGATAAGCGTAGACGGGGCAGCTGTCGTGGTCTCCTCATGTCGGACTTGGTGCGGTCTGCCTGGGCTGGGGACTGGTTGCCACAGCACACTGGCACTCTCTTTAAGAGCGCAAAGCAAGGAATTCCCTGGGGGCATTCCGGAAAACTGTTCTTTTTCCAGGCCATCACATAGGCAGTGACATCAGGAGTTCAGGTTGATTCAAACACTGTTTATAAAATCAAGTAGAAGAAACTCAAGCTGGAAGGAGCTTAGGCAAAACTGCAAATTTTCTTCCCCATAGAATCCAATAACCATTCTGATAACTAAACTGCAGGAAACAGGGTTGCAACTCGGCCTCAGGAGAAACTGGGTGCCTAGACTTGGATGCCGCCAAGACTCTTTTTTTATCTCCCTGCTTCTCCCGGCATTTCCGTCTTCTTTCCCTGCAGACAGCCTTCCTCCACGTGATTATACATATATTTAGCTACTAAAAGCTCCTAAAGTTTCCATCTTTCAACTTCCTCCACCACAGAGAGACCAATTCCCTTATTCCAGTTGGAAGACTACCAAGGAAGGACTCTGATTGGCCCAGCTTGGGTTAAGTGCCCACCCCTGACTAATGAAGCCTGTGGGGGAAAACAAGGCCTCATAAGAAGATGCCATGTGGATAGGGGAGGGTGAGTGGTTCTCAGGAGCAGGGGTTCTGGGCAAACAATCCCATGTGTGTCCAATGTACTAGCACAGCAGCAATTGCGTGCACAGCAATGCTCAGTACAGGCATGTTGATGAGTAGTATCCTGGAAACCAGGACGGGACTATGGCTTAGCACACCACCTTGCCTATTGTTAGAGCAAAGTCAACAAATCTTTATGGTGAGTTATTCCCTGGTGACTTGATAATTGTGAGACTAGCCTGCAACTCTTTATACTGTCATATTTTTCCTGGTACATTAACCCCATGACCCCCGGCTCCATTCAGACTCTCAACAATCCTGACATTTCCCTGCCCTGCAAAGAACTGCTGACAGCTTGTGCTATTCTCTTGGTTCTAATGACTGCTGATTCACTTCATTTCCCAGAGGAAGAACGGTGCACTCACCAACACTGCCAGGTCACCAGCAGCTTTAAGCTCTGGACGGGACGT